TGTTTGAGACCCCTGCTATACAACTACCCCAAAATAATTCTTAGGAGTATATATTTTAGAAAAACACCCAATCTTGAGTTAAATTGTCAGTGATGGAGAATCCACCACAAGCCTGGGTAAACTGTTCCAATAGTTAATGAGACTTTTAAGAAGTGAGAGTAATTGTCTCTCTCACCCACCCTCTAGTGACTTGAAGTGCCTTTTACTGCTGTCTCGACCAGCTCAGTGTCTCCATAAATGAGACCCATCCCATTTCCTGTGGCCAAAAGAAGGGTGATTGCATATATACATATTTTCAAGAATTCATGCAAAGAAATGAAGAAAGGGTCTTTGGTACTCCAAGTACGCGGAGGATCACCAAGGAAAATCTATTGTCGTTTAAGCGAAATAAGCAAATAGTTCATATGGAAAAACACGTTGAGTTACCTAGAAGTTTTTCAGCTGGTTTTGTGACGTGTGCTCCACAACCAATCCAGTGTTTGAGTCTCTCGATGTTCAAGCCAACCAGCTTTTCGTTGTGGCCATTTGGAAGCGGGTCATAACAGCCCACTTGCTCCAAATACTTGCTGTCCCGAGCTCGCTTGTTATATGCGACCACTATACGGAAGAAGGGTCTGTTGGCACAGCCACCAAGAGCCAATCGGATAGCTACGTGTCCTCCATGATAATTTTTCATAAGGAGGTGAGCTGAAGGAAAGATCAACAGGTATCACAAGAGATTTGATTATAACAGATGTGTATAGACGTCTAGCCAAAAAATTCCAAAAGGCCTTAGAGAAAAGTTTGGTTTCACTTAAAATCAATAAAACTGCTGTAACCGTCCCTTACACACCAACAATAGATTATTCTTTATGATGGAATTGAAGTCCGTACCCTGCCATGAGATTGCTTTAATAAATAAGACAGATTTGCTCTACCAACCCTTAAGAGAGTTCCGTGGAGAAGGCTGCACATTCTCCACTAACTGTGATTGATTTAGAGGGATGCAGAAACTAGGAGTCTGTGCATGCAACCCTTAACAAGCCCTGTCTGCACTTACCAAGGTGCACCATGACGACTTTTGCCAGCACCTGAAAGAGGAAAAAGACCATGAATGAATCCCCTGCCACTCCCAAACACAGGGCCAGCCCACTGCAGCTGTGAATGCTATAGGGTAGACATAGCCTTAGTTGACAGAGATGAGTTATAACTGAAAGTTATAGTTTGAAAATCCTGAGGGAAACATGGGAGTGGTTTTTTTTTGTTTGTTTGTTTGTTTTAAATGGAGATATCCTATCTCCTAGAACTGGAAGGGACCTTGAAAGGTCATCGAGTCCAGCCCCCTGCCTTCACTAGCAGGACCAAGTACTGATTTTGCCCCAGATCCCTAAGTGGTCCCCTCAAGGATTGAACTCACAAGCCTGGGTTTAGCAGGCCAATGCTCAAACCACTGAGCTATCCCTCCCCCCGTGAGCTATCCTTGAGTTGCAAGCCCTGCCCTGACCCCATAGGGTCTGTCTCTCATGACCCATTGGCCATGGCGATCCTGGGAATGGAAGTTTCAAAGCACCTGCCCCCGCTCCCACTTTTGTGGTTTGGGGTTTAGGTAACTTTCAACCTCTTAGGAGCACAGGCAAAATTAAAAGCATTTTTTTTTTCCTGGTAGCCCTGATGGGCAGCAGCTTCACTGCCTCACCCTGCTTGCCTTTCTGTTTCAATAGCTTTGTTGCTAGGGGAATGCCAACAAGTGCCACATGAGTACATAAAATCACTTGTCATTTTAAGGTAAGAATTAGCTTCCACATTAAATTGGTGTCCTGAGGATTTGGCGTTTATATATAAGGGCTGTCAATTAATTGCAGTTAACTCACGATTAATTCAAATCAATTGTGATTAATTGCACTTATAACAACAGAATACCAATTGAAATGTATTAAATATTTTTGGACACATTTTCAATATTGATTTCAATTACAACACAGAATACAAAGTGCACAGTGCTCACTTTATATTATTATTTTTTATTACAAACATATGCACTGTAAAAATGACACAACAAAAGAAATAGTATTTTTCAATTCACCTCATACATACTAGGAGGGTGGTGAAGCACTGGAATGGGTTCCCTAGGGAGGTGGTGGAGTCTCCTTCCTTAGAGGTTTTTAAGGCCCGGCTTGACAAAGCCCTGGCTGGGATGATTTAGTTGGGAATTGGTCCTACTTTGAGCAGGCGGTTGGACTAGATACCTCCTGAGGTCTCTTCCAACCCTGATCTTCTATGATAAGTACTGAAGTGCAAACTCTTTATTGAGAAAGCGTAACAAATGCAGCGGGGGGAGTTTGGTTGCATAACTGCACTCAAAAACAAAACAGTGTAAAACTTGAGAGCCTACAAGTCCACTCAGTCCTACTTCTTATTCTGCGAATCACTAAGAGAAACAAGTTTGTTTACATTGATGGGAGCTACTGCTGCCTGCTTATTTACAATGTCACCTGAAAGTGAGAACAGGCGTTCGCATGGCACTTTTGTAGCCAGCGTTGCAAGATATGCCAGATATGCTAACATTCGTATGCCCCATCATGTATTGTGTTGTAATTGAAATTAATATAGTTGAAAATGTAAACATCCAAAATATTAAAAATAAATGGTATTCTATTGTTGTTTAACAGCACGATTAATCGCTTGACAGCCCTAATACACACACACACACACACAATGAAAATTACTTGATTGGGTTGTAGTAATTGTTATTCTTGGGTATTAACTTGTTCAGGGAATCCTCAAATCTTGCTGCTCATTGCAAGTGGTGTAAAAACGAGCATTGCCAACGACTCCTAGTTCACAGGAAGTGTCTGTGTGTGTGTGTCTGTGTGTGTGTGGGAGGGGTCTGTGTGGGAGTGTGTCTGTGTGTGTGGAGCTGGGCGGCTGTGTGTGTGGGGGGGGTCTGTGGGGGGGTGTCTGTGTGTGTGTCTGTGGGGTATGTGTGTCTGTATGTGGGGGGGGCGGTGTCTGTGTCTGTGTGTGGGGGTGTGTCTGTGTCGGGGAGTGTGTGGGTGTATGTGTGTCTGTGGGGGGGTCTGTGTGTGGGGGGGTCTGTGTGGGAGTGTGTCTGTGTGTGTGGAGCTGGGCGGCTGTGTCTGTGTCGGGGAGTGTGTGGGTGTGTGTGTCTGTGGGGGGGAGTGGCGGTGTGTGTGGGGGGCGGTGTCTGTGGGTGTGTGTCTGTGTGTGGGGGGTGGGGGTGTGTCTGTGTCGGGGAGTGTGTGGGTGTGTGTCTGTGGGAGGGGGGGTGGTGGTGTCGGGGGGGGGCGGTGTGTGTGTGGGGCGGTGTGTGTCTGTGTGTGGGGGGCGGTGTATGTGGGGCGGGGCTGGGACGCAAATCCGCGGCTCCGGCGCTCCCGAGGAGTCCCGCTGGGACAAGCGGAGCGAAGGCTCCCGGCGCTCCCCGCTCGCGGATCGGACCCGCTGTCGCCGCGCGGGTCCCGCCCGAGGGGCCCGGAGCAGACGTGGCCCCCCCGGTCTGCCCCGGGGTTCGCGCGGGAATTCCGGCAGCCGGGGCCGAACCCGCCCCGCCCCCGCGGTACCTGCTCAGGCCCGGCTGGGCGCCTCGCCCCGCTCACGCGCGGAGCCCCGCCCCCTGCGGGTCCGAACCTCACGGGCCGCCGTAGCGCGGCAGCGGGGTCAGGCGGCAACGCTGCATTGTGGGAACGGAACCCTAGCGCGCCTGCGTCTCGCGCCTGCCTTTCCCATCGGCCCCCGCGAGGGCTTCGGCCCCAAGGTAGGCAGCTGTCTGGGGACTATTCCCGTCAGCCACTGCGTTTCCGCCCCGTCTCTGTCGCACCGAGATGATGTCACAGTGGGCACCACGCGCGCCCTAGCGAGAACAACCGGGGGGCGTGAGGCCGGCCATTGCGGGTGACCCTCCATTTCCCATCAGGCATTGCGGTGCACGCGCTGTGGGTGTGGCCCGACCAGGATTTCCCGCTCTCAGAGCGAGACTGTCGCCGCGGGGACACGTGACCTCTCGGTGGCTTCCATGGGAGATGGAGTTCGCCTGCTCTAGGCCTTAGCGCATCCCCCACCAGCCCTCCCCACTGAGTGCGCCGGCTGCCCCAGGCCGTAAAACCGGGACAACGGCCAGTCCGCGGACTCCACTGGTCTTGATGGCACGTGCGTAATGAGATTATTATGGGGAATAACTTCCGGTTACTGTTCGCGGGGGGACAGTATTAAAGACCGCACCAGGTCGAATGATTTCCGCTCACTGTTCCCGGGGGGACAGTATTAAACAGCACACCACGTTAAATGAGTTCCGGTCACTGTTCCCGGAGGAACACTACGACGCGTACCGGGGCATTGGTACTGTATCCGGTCAGACACTACTAGAGTGACTACGCGGGCAAATAAAACCCAGTGACTGGAAGTTAAGAAATTAATGGAGATATTCCATCTCCTAGAACTGGAAGGGACCTTGAAGGTCATCGAGTCCAGCCCCCTGCCTTCACTAGCAGGACCAAGTACTGATTTTGCCCCAGATCCCGAAGTGGCCCCCTCAAGGATTGAACTCACAACCCTGGGTTTAGCAGGCCAATGCTCAAACCACTGAGCTATCCCTCCCCCTTAAAGTCAAACACAATTAGCGCTTTCACCAGGCATCTTAACTTCCGGGTGCTGTCCCGCAGCCCGCCGGACGGCGGGGGCGGGGGCGGCGGGGCCGGCTCAGGCTCTGCCCCAAGCAGGGGAGGGGGAGGCGGAAGTTGCAGGAGACGGTGGCGCCTGCGCTGATTTGCTGGCGAGAGTCATGTGTCCCGGGCCTCCGTGCGGGGGTCTCGGGTTAGTTTTAGTGTTGCAGCCGCCCGGGGCTGTGCTACGTGGGGTGCACTGAGCATGCACAGTAACCGCCGCTGAAGCCCCTGCCCGTCCTAGCCCTATGGGTCTGCGGGCGGCTTTGGACAGGGGTGGGAGGGGGAAATGGGAGCGGGGGGGGCAGGGTCTGGGCAGGGGGTGGAAGTTGACTGGGCCGAGGGGTCAAGCAGCTGGAGGTGGGGTTAGGAGAGGGTGAAACCCGCTTCGGGGGCCTGGCCCCCTGACCCTACCCCTGCTGCCCAAGGCCCCTCTCCTAGGCCGCCCCTCCCACCCCCCTGGCCTGCCGGAGCTAACCCGCCCCAATCCCGGGGTTGGCCCAACACTGGCCCGAGCACCTGCCCGAACCCCAGGCTGGCCCGAGCACCGGCCCGAGCCGCCCCAGGCCATGGGCCAGCCCGAGTCCCGAGCTCCAGGCCGCTAGCCGGAGCTGAGCCCCCACCGGGGAGAGAGGGGGTGAGGAGAGACACGGCAGGTGGCCTTGTGGGGGGGAGGGGAGGGGAGGAGGTACGTGGCGGGTGGGGAGGGTCTCGGTGGTGAGGAGGGACTTGGCGGGCAGCAGGGATCTCGGGGGGGGTGTGTGGGTGGAGGAGAGCAGGGACTGACCCGGCAGCTGCAGGCAGTGGGGGCCTTGGGGAAGAGGCGGAGTAGTGGTGGGAAGAGGTGGGGCCACCACAGGCCAGGTGTCCGGCAGCGGGTCGGTGGCAGCTGTGCCAGGGGAGGCTTAGCCTTCCTTGGCCTCTTAAACCTGCCGCATCTGCCTGGCCTGGAGTTGCTGTAGGGGTTGGGGAGGCTGCAGTGGAGGGTCAGATTACAGCAATCTCCCCAGGACTGTTGAACCCCCTTGGCCAGTGACCCCCAGGAGGGCAGAATGCTTCCAACTCCAATTGACTCCAGCTTGGGGTCTCTCTGATCTGCTGAATGGGGCTTTGTCTACACGATGCTGTGCTGCTACAGCCGCTAAAAGGTGTGCAGTGTAGCTGCTGTTTGTCAGCAAGAGAGCACTCTCCTGCCGACAGAAAACTTCCACCCCCAACGAGTGGCGTTAGGGTTGTCGGCCGGAGAGCTCTTCTGCCAACGTAGTGCTGTTCACAGCGGCGCTTTTCCTCGGTAAAACTTTTGTCATTTAGGTGTGGCTTTTTTTAACACCCCGAACGACAAAAGTTTTTCTGACAAAGTTCCAGTGTAGACAAAGCCATAGTGATCTAAGGAGGAGCTTTACGCCTGTCCTGGGCAGCTGGCTGTGCTGGGAGTGCCCAACCCTGCTTAAGCAGTTAGCTGGTGGAGGTGCTTTCTTCCCTGTTAGACCCAGCTGCCCCAGGGCACTGACACGGCCTGTTGGGTGAGTAGCTGTCCCCCTGGGGTGGTGCTGTGTAATCACCGTGCTCGGATCCTTATTTAACTAGAGCCTCAAAGCACAATATACTGTCCACATGGTGTGTCGCACAGTAGAGTCTGAAATGGATTTCACATTGAACTACGTTATGGGTACTACAAAAAGAGATCGTTGCCAGTATATATTTAAGGTACTCAGCTACTGTCTCTGATCCTCGAGTGTTGCAAACGCTCATGATTTTATTCGTGGTATATTCGTTAAAGCCCCAGCTGCTAGAATCCTAATACAAGAGATTCTTAGATTTCATTCAATAGAGAAAAGTTTGGGGGTGTGAAGCCAGTACATCCTGGGGCATTATGCCCCGTATTCATCATCGTAAATATTATTGTGATAAGATTATGGCATAACTATGATGTATTTTAGGCAAGATGGGTCATATAAGGTATCATTGAAAAGGTTATGATTTACTGAATATGATAATCCAATTTCATGCATGTATCATTTTGGTATCTGAAGTTAGGCATATCGTCTATACATCGATTACAAGTGTGTTTACACCTGGGAACGCCCAGTAGGTAGAATGCACTCAGACTAGATGCCTGGCTGGGAAGGGCCATTAGGGAGAACAATAGGTCTTAGAAGATGCTAATCTCCCAACAGGGAACCTTCCTGAGGATGCTACATGGCTGCTATAGCCCTACCGGCAGGGCCGTCCTTACCCATACGCAAAGTACGCAGCTGCGTAGGGCACCAGCAGATTTCCTGGTGCCCTGCGCAGCTGTGTGCTACTCCAGCCCCTGCCCACCTCTTCCCCAGGGCCCCAGCCTCTCCTCCGCCCCAGCCCCACCGCTTCCTGCCCCCACTCCATCCCTTCCTCAAAGCCCCTGCCCCGCCTCTTCCTGCCCCTGAGGGCCTGCACTCACCGGCGGCGGGAAGTGCAGCGACCCGGTTCCAGCCATGCTGCTGGTGAGTGCTGGGGGGGGTGGTTCCCCCCTGTTCCCCCAAGCCAGCTGTGCCCCCCCACGCAGGGGCCTGGGGCCCCACAACCCCCATCCCCCACCCACAGGGGGGGCTGCATAGGGCCCCAGAATAGCTAGGGATGGCCCTGCCTACCAGAACATGTGACCGAGTCACCTGCTACTGGACTCCATCTTGGAATACTAATGTTTTTCCACTGAAAGGTGTGCGAACTAAAGTTGGAGACACAGGGTTCCTGCCCTATGCAAAAGCTATTTAAGGCAGGGGAGTGACTGTCATCATGGATCTTCAGTGACTTCCTGCCCAAGAAGATTGCTGGAAACACCTGAGAAGCGAGGACTGAACTGGGGGCAAAGGGCAGAACCCAGGCTAATCAACTGTTTGGATGAGTAGCAAATTCTCCCCCTATTTCTTTAGTAAATTAAGCTTAGATTGTGTTTTTATTTGATCCATTTGCTATCCCTTATTATCACTTTAAATCTACCTTTTGTGGTTAATAAACTCATTTTGGTTTTGTCTAAAACCAGTGTGTGTGGGAGTCATTACCTGGGGCAGAAAGCTGTATATATTCCTCTCCATGTTGAGGGAGGGGGCAAATTTCATGAGCTTACCCTGTACAGTTCCCTGTGCAGTGCACGACGGTATAACTTTGGGTTTACCCTCGGGGGGGGGGGTGCACACTTGAGTAACTGGGCAGCTTCTTAGCTGAGCCTTCCCACGCAGAGCGGATCTCAGCATGTGTGTGTAGCTGCAGCTGGGTGTGTCTCTACCTGTCTGTGTGCGGGAGGGGTTAGGAGCTTGTCACAGCAGTACAGTGTAAAGGGAGCCTGGGCTGGTGGGTCAGGGGGACTCACTGGTACGCCAGTTCCAGGGGACCCGTCACACACCCCAATGCCTTTTGTTACAGACAGTAATGATCAACAGCTGCATTTTGTTTATACATATTCCTTCCTGATATTACTGTCCTCAGCAATTTTCTGCTACAGTCTGTGTTCCATTCTTATCTAACAAGGTCAAAATAACCTCTCAGTTTTTCCCACTCGCCCAGGCCCTGCATTAAAGTCTCGTGTTATTAACTAGAAGAGTTAGCCTGACTCTTGCTCTTCCTGGAAGACTAAGATGTCTGCGCTTTTCCCAACTTCCACAATCGACAGTGTGCCTCGGATTTGGAAGGACATGTCTTCAACAGTAACCTCCTGTAGGGCCTGGACCACAATTGCTTTGGGATCCAAATCCATAGGCCTTTTGCCAAGTTCCAAGTCACTGACTGGGGAATACACTTCCCAGATCATCTGAAACTATATTGCCAAGTGAACAACAGCGTGATGACCAAACTACAGTAAAACCCACAATGCTTCCTAACACTAGCTGACAGAACTGGACCAGAGTGCTTTGCGATCTGACTATTGCGCAAACTGAGTCACTATACTCCTTAGCTAAAGGAAACACAAGTTGGGAAATCCCGGCAATGTTGTTGTAATGACAGCTACCATGTAAGAACAGAATTTTACTGAAACCTGAGTTCTAACACGGAACTATTATTCTGGAATGTAATTTGCTTACCTAAGCTCTCACAATCAGAACTATTATTCAAGGATGTAATTGTTTAATTACAAAGTACCAGTTTGTCTGGATAAGCTA